CGGCGGATGGCCTCCACTTTAGATTTTAAAAATGCTGCAAATTGGTCCGGTGTAAAACTAGGGGGAGGCCCATCACCCGGGCCAATTCCGGATAGGTCTCGCACTATACGGAATAATTCCGCCTGCTGGTTGGACGCTTCGCTTATCCGGTTAGCGAAGTATGCTCGACTGGCAGCCTTTACCCTAGCCAGGTAAAGGTTAGTGGCGACCTTAACAGCTATCCAATTATAATCCGTCAGGTCCTTTCTCCATTTGCGCTCTAGCCGTCTCCTAATCCGCTTCAGCGCCCGGAGGTCCTGGTTAAACCAAGGCACCGGGCGAGCTCGGCGTTGGAGAGGGCGTTTAGGTGCGATCGTGTCTACAGCCCTGACCGCAGCGGCGAACCAGCTGTCAGTCAGGACCTCGACAGGAGCGCCAGCCAGGTCTGCCATAGCACCTCTCATGGCATCCTGGAATCCAATCGAATCCAGTAGCCTTCGAGGGCGGACCATGACAATAGGTCCCTGCTCCCTGTGAGGGGGGAGGGCCATGTTGAGGTTGCATTTTATTAGGTGGTGATCCGACCATGACAGAGGAACCGACTCTAGGTCAGTCACCATCGGACCACTCTCGCTCCAACTGGAGGAAAAAACCAGGTCGAGTGTATGGCCTCCCACGTGGGTGGGGCCAATAACATGTTGGGACATGTTCAAGAAGGCCATGGTCTCCAAGAACTCAAGAGCTGGTCCGGAAATCTCCACCCCGCATTGACGTTGAAGTCCCCCAAAACCAACAGCTTCGGGGAACCCAACAGTGCCGCGGAGACAAAGTCCACCAGCTCCGGTAGGGAAATGGCTGTGTCGCGGGAAGCACGGTAACCCAGCAAGATCCCAACACCGTCCCTAGCCCCAATCGACACATGGAGGGCCTCCAGACCCGGTTTTACCACCGAGGAGCGCCTAGTAACCTCGAAGATGGATTTATAAACAATGGCGACTCCCACCCCCGATCTTCCAGTCTACCCTGGTGTTGGACAGCATAACCGGGCGGGCAGATGAGTGCTAGAGGGCTTAGGCATGCCTGGGGGGCCGGGGAGGGGAAGACTTTGCTGCTTCCTTGCTCCTGGCCTGCAATGTTTGGGGGAGCGTCTCCAGAGCTCCCCTAACCTCCTTGGCTCCCTGCCCCCCCCGCCCCCAGGAGCTGATCGGCCCCATCACCTGCAGATAAGGATGATCCAGTTGTACATGATGGGGGCCACCATAACCATGAGCCACCAGTAGTAATAGTCGCCCGATGGGTCCAGGATCAGGCCATTCCGTTGGCCACAGCTAGTGCTGTGGAAAAGAAAGCAGAAGCGCCCTGAGAAGGCATCGCCTAGAAATGACCGGGGACATTAAGTGCCCCCATCGGGGGGGAGGGGGGGAGCGGCGGCTGCCCCGGCACAGAGGCCCTTCTGCTCTGCAGGTTTTCCCTGAACAGGGTTCTGCCCATGGACACGATGCCATGCCTCGCCACCTGTTTTGTATTCCCCCTTGCCCAGGGTCAACCAAGCGGTGCAGGAGGAAAAGACCGACACGCGGGGATCAAGCTTGTTTCCGGCTGCTCCAGAGATCGGACCCGAGCCAGAGGCCTCAAATAACAGGAAGGGAGCTTCCACGTAAAGCTTCCTCCAGAGGGTCAGACCGGCCGGGCTGCAGAGTGGTCTCGCCTGGGAGGGGTGGACTTGCCTGGGTTGGCGTTTCAAAACCCAGGCTGGGCAGCCGTTTCTCAGGGATGCATTGGCTGTCGGGGGGGGGAAGGGGGAGGTTGGACTCGATGAATCCCAACCAGCAGTGCAGTGGGGGGAGGATGCTGTTTTGCAAGGGTGCCAGGAATCTGGAAGACGGTGCCCGTGGACCAAAGCCACCCACCTCAAGGAATGAAGGGCAGGGGACTGGGGGGGGGNACAGGCCAGCATCCCTGAAAGGGAAGAGGAGGCCCCGCCAGAGCCCAGCCGCTCCCACCTGGGCAGGCCTGGCCAAATCAAGCCTCACAGGTGGCACCTCCCAGTTCACCAGCCAATGCCCACAACCATGCGCCCTACGGGACTCACGCTACCCTCCCTCCCTCAAAGTGAGCAGATGCTGGAGAGAGGCAGAGGTGTGGAGTTGGAAGCTCCTCTCACATTCCACTGGTTCACGCTTACGGCACGTCCTCCGGGCAGAGCACTGGCAGGCGTGGGCATCCAAGGACTGGGCGCCAGGCACCTGCCGTCCTATATTGAGGGGTGCCGACTGGCTGGCCGGCAGCTAAGCTAAGCCTGTCCCAAGGGTGGCTGTCCAGCACCACCATGCTGCCTTGAGGAATGGCCAGGAGACGTGCAGGCCGTTCATGCAGATCCCGGCTAAGCCAGGGGCGGGCATGAGGGCACCACAGGATAATAATGGCCGTGGCCATGGCGTGCCCCCTCTGGCTAGGTGCCTCCTGCTGGAAAGGAGGACCCGGGCATGCCCTCTTTGTCCCGAAACGCCAGCCCCACCTCTGCCATCCAAGCCCTTCATCTCTTTCCAGCTCAGGGTGGGAGCGTGGCTTCATTCATGCCGGCCGCTGTGGGGGTCAGGCTTGAGAGGGCGGGAGGGCTCAGGTGGAAAATGGGGGAGCTCCATGGCTCCTGGGTGTTTTTCCCACGTGGTGTTGGGTCTTCCCCCCCCCAACTGAATTTTTATCTCAAAACCAACACACACACTTACCCTCCAACAGCTGAGCCTTTCCTAAGCGTCTCCCGGCTTTAAGCCTGGCAGATCCCATTGTCCCCCCCCGAAAGGCCAGGCTCTAGAAAGGGCAGAGCTGGAGGGGGGCTGGGGGGGCTCTCCCTTTGACTCTCCTGCAGGACAGATGTTGTGCTGCACATGAATGCTGGGGGGAGGTGCCTCTGGGGGCTGGGACAGGGGGCAGAGGAGGAGGACGCTGGGGGGGTGTCAACGTGGGCACACAGGACTGCACAGACAGGCCTGGGGTCACCAGGATACACTGGTGGGACGGACACACACACACACACACAAATTTGCCAGGTTCCCTCCTGCCCCCATTGGATGCCTGCCTGACCTTGTCATGCAGAGAAGGTCCTGCCAGAGGCGTTTGGGAGAGCCGAGGGAAAGAGAAAGAGAGGGGCCCTTGGCTCTCCCTGTGCCCTCCCTGCTCCGTGGACTGGGGTGTGTGTGTGTGTGATGCCACGGCTACGGGAAAGGGCCAGGGAGGGTCTGGCTCAGGGCCGCCTGAACCAGGGGAGTAAGAGGGACTCCGTGCATTCTTGGGGGGGACCTTCTCTTCCTGCTGTCCTGCGTGGGGAGGCTGCATGGGGCAAGGGGCTGCCGTGGGGGGACCCCAAATCCCCCCTGTGCTGCACATCTTGCTGGGTGGCCTCTGGGTGGCCGGCCTGCCTCCCCCCCCACACACACACAGACCACCTCTTGGGCAGCCTCTGATCCGCCTCTCCTCTCTCCTCTTGCATCCTGCCCTCTCACCTCCTAGGACATTTCTCTCCCCTTGGCCCATGCCTGATCCATGATCTGTGCCCCCGCCAGCCTGCCTGTGAGGGGGGGCAAGGGGGGTCTGTCCTTTCCACAGCTCTCCTCTCTCCTCCCAGGATCCGACCGCAGGTTCCCCCCCCCAGGTACCCACTCACCGTGGCTTGGGGGCAGCTCCAGGACTGCTTCTTCTTGTTAGGATGAGTTGTGGCTTCCCTTCCTTTTTGGCCCGTGGCCCAAAGGCCCGTGGAAGCCCGTTCATCTTGGATGCTGCCCCCCCGCTGCCCACAACAGAGCACCGCCAGGCTCCTGCTGCCTGCGACCAGGAGCATCCGCGTAGCAACAGAGCCTCCCCCGGGGGCTTCGCCGCACACCTGAGTCAGGAGGTGCCGCTCTAAAGGGCCCAATCAGGGAGGCAGGGGTGCCGGGGACCGGCTGATGAAGGCCTTGGGGAGGCCTCGGTTAAGGAAGGAGCTGCTGCAAGCAGGGAGCTGAGCTGGGGGGGGCAGGCCCTTGGGCCGCTTTGCAGCTGGCACCTCTTCTGGAATAGCCACAGGTGCCCCCCCACCCCAATAGCCACAGGTGCCCCCCCCACCCCACCCCGCCCCGCCCTGTGCACATGCCCCCATTCCCCTGGATGACTCTTCTTCACCTTCTTCTTTGGGGCTGGCTATGGCATGCAGCTGGCATCCACACTGGGGGTTGGGGGGAGAGACCCAGCTTCCTGCCTCCCTGGGGAAAGGGGAGGCAGCAAACCCAACATTGGTTTTTATACCGCTCTTCATTAGTGCCAAAACACCACTCTGGGCCTTTTACAAGACATTACGCGGGTCTCCCATGGAGCAAAGGGCAAAGGCTCCCTCCTAGCCAGGGACCCCCCCCAAAAAAAAACATTGCCCTTGGTCCCTTTCACGAGGGGAGCACCTCAGTGGCCCTTGTTGAGCGACGGTGCCCAGGATGCCTGATGGGAGGGTGAGGGCATCAGTGTGGTATCCGGGGTTGGGTGTGCCTGTCACGAGGCACGCGCCCTCCTTCCCGGGTTCAGGTGGCTGGAAGGATGCCCTCCCCAGGCAGGGGGAGAGGGAGCAGGAAGAGGTCCCGTCAGGGGCCGACTCCCAATCCACAGGTGGCCCACCTGAAAGAGCCTGTGCGCAGGCTGGCTGCGGGGCCTGGATCCTGCGCTGCAGTGCAACCAAGAAAGTCCCTCACCCCCCTGAGGTTCTGAGCAGAGACAGCCTGGTGGCCGGATAGAGGAGGCCTCACCCCCCTCATCCCCCCCCTTCAGGCCTTCCCTGGGTGAAGGGAGAGCTGCTGGTCCTTTCAAGTGGAAACAGGTGGGTGTGTGTATGTGGGGAGGGGGGGCCCACAGAGGCCTTCCTGGCTCTCCTCCCCACTCAGAGAACCACAGAATCCTGGGGTTGGGAGGGATCTCTGAGGGAATCGAGTCTTAACCCCCCCTGCTCCAGGCAGATCAGAGAGGAGATCATTCAGGAGAAAGTGACAGACTTCCTCCTGAATGCCTCCAGTTTTGGAGGACAAGGATTCCTCTGTCGTACTGCTCTAACAGTTAAGACGTTTTCGCTAGTATTCAGCCTAAATCTGGCTTCCTGGACCCAGAGCCCGTTGTTGCATGTCCTGCACTCTGGGATGATTGAGGACAGATCCTGGCCCTCCTCTGTAGGATGACCTTCCAAGAAATTGAAGAGTGTCACCTTATCTCCCCTCTTCCC